TCAAAATTGGATTATCACATGCTCATCTGATATTTATGATAATATTGTAAAATACATTTTAAACTAATCTACTCCAACCATGGTAATTAAATTTTATTATCAATTGGAAGTTTTTTGATAATTTTATATGTAATTGCCACATGTCAATTTGTGATTGGTTGGTTAGGTGGTTATTTTTTTGATAACTCAATCTGCAGGAAGTATTTTTAGATTCAAAGACGTGAAATATCAAAATACAAACTCATTTTAATAACCCCTTTGGAGAACACAATTTTTAAATTTTAGGAGTCAAATGGTAGTTAAGATATTTGATAACTCATTTAATAACTCCATTGGAGTTGCTCTTAGGAAATTGAGTTATAAAAAATGTAACCACCTAAACATCTAATCACAAGTTGACATGGGGCAAGTACAAATAAAACCACCCATAAACTTCCAATTGATAATAAATTTGATAACCATGGTCGAAGTAGATAAGTTTTAAATCAATATTAAAATATTATCTCAAATATCAAATGAGTATTTAATAACTCATTTTTTATGTCTAACATTGTAGTTACGTTCAGAGAAAGAAGTACTAGCCATTGCAGTGACACGGTGAAAACGGGAATCGGACACAATCACAGATCTACAATCAGCACTGCAATTTAAAGGCTACTGCAAATAAATACTTAATTAAAAAAAAATATGGACAACTTTCATGAAGTTTTCATATGTTCACTAATGAGGATTCACGAGGAGGAAGTGATTCTGAAATTAACACATGAAAACACCAATGTTTACTATATGCGATGCTTTTAATATTAAACTTTTGTTCATTGTATTTCGAATGATTTTCTAACATTACTATTTTGTGATCTAGAGAAACGTGATTTTATGTTAAACAATACTGCACTGAATTTATTTGCTATAAAAGAAATTCAATATGTTTAATGAATCCACTTCACTAAAGTAGAATACCAACTATTTATATTTTATAGATACAAATAAATATTTTTGTGGAGTTAGTAATCGGTGGAACTGTCGATCAGATTGAAAATAAATTAGCTTCGTGATATAAAATTACATCAACATAATAAATACAAATAAAGCCGAAAACTCGGACGAACGAAGACCAAAACTCGAAGAATTGATAAGTGAAAATCATGCAAAATGAACACTTATCAGTAATTTTTAGGGTGTAAAGTGTCAAACACACCTAATTGAAGGGTGAAAAATTCCAATTACCCAATTGCAAAAATAAATACTCTGAAAAACATTCCCTCGTACAAAATGGGACTCGATCATTCAACTATTAATGAGTAAATAATTGCCCTACTTGTGCATTCTAAAGAAAACTCTAAAAAAATGCATTCTCTTATACAAAATGGGTCACGATCATTCGTGTATTAACTTCATTACATAGATGCATAAAACGGTAAGAAAAATACCAAAAAATTCTACTGTATATATGTAGGCGCATTTCAATACATTATTCTTACCATGCATCCATATAGTAAACATGAACATGGTGCATTATTTTGCATAACGTTAATCTTATGCCAATTCTCGTGGTTGTTTTTACTTGTCGCTACCTGAATTGCTTGCATCTAATCTGACCATGCATTTCTTTAGGGGTTCGATATACTTTTTTCTTAGAACATTTATCTTAGCTTTTTGCAAATATAGTTGAATATTCAATGTATTTGGTTTTCTTTCTAATAGATGTAGAAAGTATGTAAATTGGTTCATGGACTATGAATAAATTACACGCATCTCTCCAGATTTATTTATTCAAATATCTAATAAGGATAAGGAAATATTTTAACAACTGAAGAAGAAAACTTGAAAAATGATGAAACTACCAAGACTAAAAAAGTAGAAGAGTATTATCAGACATAGTGATCAGAAACTATAAAATTTACAATGTATTTATTACTAAATAAAGTGAGATTTCATTGTATTATAATAATTAAATAATTCGTCACCACAACAATCAAATTTCAAAATATTCCT